GTTTGTCGACTGAACTAATTAATAAATAAAATAACGTTTTTTGAAGTGGTTTTTATTTTATTTCCTGAAAATCTTAGGTGTCCGCCATTAGGGGACTTTGCCCTACTGAAGACAGTGAAACTTAACAAAGTCATGAACTACGTGTTTAACCGGACTATAGGTAACGTACTATCTACTATACCTTATAAAAAATCCATCATTAAGTCCGACTGTGGGAAATGCCAGAAACCTCATATATTGCTGGCGATATACCAGTTCGAACAAGATAGATGTAAAATACTCGAATCGGTTACAGGGAGCGGCATACAAAGAAGCCAGATTTCCATTCCACCTTCCTTGAGTGGCAAATTAGGCAAATCATTCCTATAATGAGAGAGGCCCTAGGTTGTAAGGGGGTGATAAATAAAGGGATAAGAATTAATCTGTGTCTGAGCATGTAAAGAATAAACTAATTTAATACTGAATACGTACGAAATTGTAAAAATTATTCTGGTAAGCTAGCGATCCGCCCTATCTTATCCCTACCTATCAAAACTGAACTTAGTTACAGTTTGAAATACTTTTATGTTAAGAAAATAAGTAAAACAATGTTATAAATGTTTCTGACTAGGGGTTCGCCCAGGCTGCGTAAGGGTGATTTCTGGATCTCGACAACAGCGCCAACTACCGGGTCCAATTGCGAATCTAAACCAAACCTTTGATGGTTTAGATTCGGACACTTACAAAAAATCATCAAAATCGAACCGCGTAAGAGCCGTTTAGGAGTTCAATGTTAAACACACGTACAGAAGAATACATATAGTATTATTAAGATTATCGATGTCGACTAAAGTTCACCAAAACGTACCAGTAACTTTACTCGAAACCAAACAACACACATTAACAAATAGTTGAACCTAATTGTTAATAATTTGTGATAAGCTAAAAACCTACTAAACGTTGGTTATGTTGACATTGTCATAGCCTTTATATTTTCTTTCTACTACGGAAAAGATTGTGTGTCAAGGATATCTACGAACATGTGCGTACAACAACACATTTGTATGCATTAACTGATTGGGTTGTAAACAACGGGTGTTAGCAGGTTAACATGTATGTTTTCTGCTCATATAAAACCTATAATGTCCTCCGTTACTACTTTTGCTGAGACTGCTAGAAATTGCGCCCTCCTTTCTGCCAAGGAGGGTCGCGTCCGTATACGGTTTAGAGATCTTTAGTTAGACCGTTAAGCCAGTCCCTAAAAGGTGGGGTTTAGTGGGTAAAAGTCTCCACATAACCACGCAGCCGGCTGCGTGGTATGCTAGAGCATTCCCCACCTCCCTCCCCCGCTTTCCGGAGGGTTGCCCATATTTGCTTCGGGCGCAAAAAAAAATTGCTAGAAATTTTGAGCTTGACTGTGTTGCCTGCTGTAATTAATAATAATTAAACTGTAAAGTTCTAAAGAGTGTGTATACCAAACTGGTTTTATTGTAATGGTCTCAAACGATTTATTTGTGGAGGTTAATAAAATTACATCTTCGCCTACATCACCTCCATCGAGCCTTGTCGTATAATAATACCTAGGTAAAAAATATTTATTTCACGTGCATTATTAGTATGTATATTAGTATATTTAGTGACAAAGAGTCATGCCCAAAATTGACTTGAAAATTTTCTAACGCGTCTTGTGATGTAATGTAAAATATATATGTGATGTAAAATATCTTATAAAATTGCCTTTATTTTGCTTATTTCGTATCGCATAATTGAATTTTCAGATAAAGCCAGGAAAAAAGTAATATTACTAAGTTTATCATTCTCAATAGACTTTTGGAGACGGAACGCGTTTAACAATGACTTAAAGCGTATGTTCCGAAATACAACGCAGTGTACTGTCCAATACAAATGACGTATCATTTGACACTTTATTGTACTAGCGTGCCTCCGCCATATCGTGTCGGATATCCGGCCATAATAAAACAATTTTTAATTGTGTGTTTGCCGAATGAAGCATGCCAGAATTTGTTTCTATTTATTCAAAAACAAAAAATTATAGAATAATTGATGGTATATCCATTAGGAGGATATAATGATTTTTGGAGCACAAAATGCACATCACACAACACATCGCCAATCGTTTTGGAACGAATCACCAGTGTAGCGTCGATTCATGACGTCATTTGCATTGGACAGTACACTGCGTTGTATTTCGGAACATACCCATAATTCCAGAAGCCATGACAATACCTATATATTTTAAAAAAAAAACGTGTTTTCACATTTCGTGTCACAGACTACAAAAATCTTATTAATTTGTCATGTGGTTTATGAATGATCAAAATAACCAATTTTTTGTTACTTTTCTTATTATTTTGTGATTAGATACGATTTTTTGTGGTTTTATACTATGGTGTGGAAGTTATTTTCCTTTCCACAGTATAGTATACCATAGTGTACAGTTAACAGGTTATAACCCGAAAAATTTATTTACTTTATAGAATTTTACCCTGGTCTCTAAATAAAAAGGTGATAAATTATTATGTTATTATAAACAATAATTGATTTTATGCAACAGTAATTGTAGGTAGAAGCGACCTGTAAAACGAATCAAATGACAGGTCAATCAATGTATGGAAAGTGGGCATATTTCTTGGTTTTTTAACAAAAAAACTTCTATATTGTTCGGCAAAATACTAAGCGATTGCTAATAAACAATAAATGAAATACATATATAAATTTATCATTTTATAAATTACACCTGTTATCAAAAGGGTGCGGTTTAGGCACAGAAATTGCATTTCTAGTGACGCGTAAGATATTTTTACGTACTAAGAATTTTTACCACACTTGATTAAATCAATACCGGTTTGTTTATTAAATACTCTATTCGTAAAGCAACTAGAAGGGAGTACATCGCTTCCTTACAATTGAGGGAAAGTAAAGCGCCTTGTTATACAACACCTCGAACAAAGCTTAAGATATAAGTATTTATTGTAAGTACGGACAAGTTGGAAGTGTATATGCTTCAAGCATAGAGAAAGTACAGACAGGAAGATAACTGGGTAATACCCACAATTGCTGGATTAATAGAGCAAATGAGGGCTTCCGGCTGTGACGGCGAAGTAACAATATAAAAGAAGACATTCCTATGTCTACGGATCACATGATATTGTTTACAAGTAACTATGACAATAACTTGTGACCTTCAAATCCACATTGCTGGAACAAATGCGACGTTTGGAACAATCTTATATACACTAATGAGTTCATGTTTATTCTAAAGATGTATCACGTTGTGTTTAGTTTCGCGTAGTGTATATTTTCTTTGGTTTAGTCGTGTTTCTTGATTAACAATTCCATGCTAACAAAAATAAAAAAGTTAATATACCTACACTTAAAAATTTTATAATTTAAATTTGGCAAACACGAAACTCCACAAGCTTTCAAAATGTATTAAACCGAATTTCCTCAAACAATTATTATTTCTTAATAACAAACAAATATTTCACAAACACAATAGCAGATACACAAGGAATTCCAATAGCACTTCTAAAATTTTGAATCGAATATTAACATTATATGCACACAATCGATTAAAAGTCACAACACTTCTATGCTCTTGAACGTACTATTTTGGAGAATGCAATCATATCAAGGAGCACTGCCTACGTATACGTATCCTTGAATGAACACAGATAATGTAATTTCTAATGCATAACTCGCGTCGTGTCACGCGGCACGGACAGTTCTTCAGTTTCACTCAATGTAATTTATTTCGTACGAACGTTATTAACAGTGGAGGAGCACTGGCACATCCAACACCGTAGAAATAGCCCGCATACGAGATAAGCTGATAAAGCAGCGATACGGATTTGATATTGCCGACGCAAACATTGCTCATATGCACATTGCTTCATTGTAGCTAGTTCTGATAGTTGAATTAAAAGTATTATGAAACGTATCACGATCGCCATGATAATAACGTATCTACGTGTTAATGTATAAAATGTGAACATATTTAAATTTCCCAATACATCAAAAGGAGAAGATCAAATATTTTTAAATAACTCATAAATTTTATAACTAAATTTTTAGTTAGTATTAGTTGGTTAAATCAAATTTAGACCTTATAATCATGTCATTTAAACGACTTTTAAAACTGTTATTACGTTGCGCTCTACAAACTTATCAGGGAGGATAGTATACTTTGATTATATACAGGTATATAATCAAAGATAGTATACATTGAGGGAGCAGTCAAAAATATCTTACAAATGTACTAACTACTAAAACTATCCGTTTATTTAGATAGCAACGTGTACGAAAGTATAACTACATAAAAATACTACAAATACTTTTCAATTCACTTGACAATTCAAAAATAAAGTATGACGATAAGAACGCTCTTTACTGTGTAAGTTTTATTATACATAAAGAATGTATAAAAATGAATATGCTTCATTATTTTTAAATGAAAAAGAAAGTTTACAATCATCGACCGTACCGTGTTAATGTGGTCAGTAACAATACAGTATGGAGCTGCCTTTGTAATATCAATGTTTATAAAAAATTGATGACTTTAAAGCCTTCACGTTCGAAAGTTATGAGTTCCCATAGAATAAATTAAGATTGTACATTGTTGAGTGTACTTTAAGAGTGCAAAGTTTCGTGTGCGCGAGTGAAACTTGATCACGACCGCTAAAATAATAACGCAATGTATTTAGCTAACTACGAGTAACCTATATAACGGAGGCAAGTTGTGGTACAGATGTCACCATACGTTGCGAAACTGTCGTAGTATCTTTAAAGGCTAAGTCGTGCAACGTATCTTCTCTATAGCTTTCAACTATATATAAAACTATGGAAAAGATATGTAATATATAAGTTTGAACACTTTTAATAGACAAATTAGCAGCACATAATTACTCAAACGAATTTTTTTGTTATAAATGCGTCGCATGATATTGATATCATATAATTTTAAAAGTATCAAATTGCTCAAAGTTCGTTTATAAACTTACCATCGAGCACGTCATCCACGGCCTCCTCTTCATCAGTCTTATGTTCTTCTTGTTGCTCGCGTTTCTTTATCGCCTGCAAGAAATACCCACATGAAACGAAGAATCGTAAAATTCACTAATACATTTAAAGCAGGCACTCTGCGTAAGCTAGATCATGAGTCATGACTTTACGCTAATGACATGAAAATTCGTTAAGTCTATATTTAAATGCCGACAATACATAACAAAACGTATATTGGAATAATAAATTGTAAGCCAGGCAAGCCAAATAAAACACAAACGGATTTAATATTAAATCATACGCGGAACATGACTCTATCGTGAATATCACGACATCTCACCCGCGCGAGCCATCCTCCTGCAGCTTTCAAACACCTCATTTCAAATAGCGATAGTTGGCACTAGGGAAAGGAACTTTATTGCGGTCCCGTATTATTTTATTTAACACCGGTATTCCGAAAGCGGCACTTCACTTATCGATTACTCGCGCCACACGAAACATTGTTGAAGCGGCTCGTCGCGATGCGCCCATTTCTGCGAGCCTCTCCGAGGGTCTACGGTGCGGTGAGCGATGTGGTCGAGGGCCCACGCTCATCAGCCCGTAACAGACTCCGTACGCTAACAATTACTCACGGTTCAGTCGCGTTCACAGAAACGGAGCGATTCCTGTACATAGTGATCGCTCACTTGTTCCGTTTTAACACAATTTAATTTGTAAAAAATGAAACAAAGAAATATCTGGTTCTAACGTAAAACGCTACCGCATTTAGTTACGTGCCAAATAACGCGCATTTTGAGATGAAGTGTGGACAATCGCCGCGGTGAACGCTGTGCGATGATATACCCGCACACTAAAAGTACTGCCACGATTTAGATCTCACGAATCTATTGTTTAAAGTGTTTAATAGTGGATAAGAAATTTCGTTGCGGCTCGCGCGTCTGCTTTTACTCTTTCTCGAGGTGTTGTGTGTACTAAGAGAATAATATGTATTATATTATTCTAGTTAGTACGTAAGAAACGCTACGATATTTCACGGTCACGCTAAGATTGTTTATTATAATATGTTAAAATCTACTCAACTAACAATAGCACCCAACTGTAACGCTAGGAATGATTCCTAGCATTAAAATATACTGGATGACCTTTTTTACCGTCTGGAAAAAAATAGGGTGTAGCATGTGAACAAAGTAGAAGCCCAGCACTGATATTTTACAAAAAGTAAAAACAAAAATGTTGAATTAAATAAATTAATTAATTAAAATCTATCGAAATTCAAATCATATTCACCCTACTTTACGAACGGCAATAAAACAATAAATTTAGTAGGCATCTTTGACTGTCAGTTAGCAGGGTCACAGACTAGAGTGGATATGATTTGAATTTCGATAAATTTTAATTTATTTATTTATTTAATTCAAAAAAAATTTTTGTAAAATATCAGTGCCATAGGCTTCTATTCATTTCACATGTTACACCCTATTTTTTCCAGACGGTAAAAAAGGTCATCCAGTATATGACTCTAAAATTACTCTTAAAAAATTTAAACAAAAACCATTAACAAATAAATAAGATAATTGCATGGGACGAAATTAAAAAAAAAACCTATTTGTCGATAATGATACCCAATTCCATTTTCACCTTTCTAATTTAGTATTTTATAATCTATTGATTAAAACACATGCAAGCCCACTCACCAATATTTACACATGCCATAATAATACAGAATTAAAGCGCATGCTCATATCAAGTAACATTGAGACGCCTATTACATTATGTCGACTTAATCAGTTAAAAATGCGATGTTAAAACAAGTTGACGGCTTACATCAAATTTTTTTTTTATTTAAAATAAGATGGTGTGTATTATACCTCAAATTTATCTGGCAGTCATCTATAAGTAAATTACTTGATGTTACTACGCGATAAATATTATAGTGGCTATTGAAATAAATCCCTAATCCCGTTCCAGTTTCCCATTTCACTATAACGTTTGTGAAATAACGGTGCCTGAGTTAAAATACAATCACGTGACATCTAGAATGTCTCACAAATACTGACACAATATAAGATAAAAGACTCAAATTCACTGTGACTGTTACGGTGACACTGGGTTTCTTAACTGACTAAAGTAGTAATGATATTAAAAAATGTATTAAATTTTAAATAAACTGAATGGAAAATCAAATAGAATATAGTTTTTGCTAACTTCAAGCATTATAATTTAATTATTTGTTTTTAAGAGGGGGGCAATTTTTTTTAAAAAAAAAGGGGGCGTGTGTGCTGTGCTACAAGGTGAATTTTAGCCCAGAAAATTAGTTCTTTAAAACTTTCGTTGTGGTCTTACTCAACAATAAATTTATGATCGATTTTAATAGAAGTTAGGATTGGCACCGTCCTACCTATGCCACTGTTTTCAACTAGCTTGACATCGTTCGATGACAAGAATCAAGGCCATAACCGGGGGGGGGGGGGGGGGGGGATCAATCCCCAAAAATAAAAAATCAATATTACACAACATAGTTAATCACTACAAACAAAATTCTCCGAAAATTGGTGAACTTTTCAAGAATGCACAGAATTCCCTCAGTACTGTAAACGAGGAAATGAAAATTCCGCGAATAACGTCACGCCGAGAGCATAGTGCAAACTACAACACAAAAGATCCTGAAACCTATTTTAGAATTACTATAATGATTCTACTTTTGGATTATTTCATTGAACAGCTTCAGTCAACATTCAAAAATCATAAGGCCACATTATCATCTCTCAACATTTTAATTCCGTCATTGTGTTGCAAAGAACAGATTAATCAAAATTATCAAGAAAACTACTTTGAGTTCTATAAAAAATATTTGAAATGGGACTTTGTAAAAGCTGAATTAGATATGTGGCGGATAAAACGGGTGGAACAATCTCCACTAGATCGACCAACATGTGCTGCAGGCCTTCCAAACAATCACAAACTTTTAAAGATCTTGGCGACACTGCCTGTTTCTACACTCTTTCTGTACTCCTGAGAGGACTTTCTCTTCTCTTAAACGCCTCAAAACTTATTTGAGAAACTCTACAGGCCAGGAAAGACAAAAAGGTTTGGCGTTAATGTCAATCCACCGCAGAATTGACATCGACACCGAGGAGGTAATTTATTTGTTCGCTGCAAAGAAAGCTAGAAGACTAAATTTAATTTTGTAATAAGGTGTTCGTATTTCTGTAATGGTTTTCTAATAAATATATATGATAAGTAACACCATTTTATTTCTTTTATTAAAACGATTATTTTATTTTTTTCTACTGTTCCACCAAATCAACCTCCTCCCCCTCCCTGAAATTATTTTCTGGCTACGGCCTTGAAAAGAATTGAAGAAAACGTCAGCACAATACAAGCTGATAAGAGCCTCCCACTAATATATTCGAGTAAATATAAGTCGCAGGTACATTTCCAAATTTAATTACATTCATAACTATACTTTTTGTTATTAAATTGTTAAGAAAGCATCACTTGCATCGGTGCAATTATTCCAGGTTCCGTTAACTTGTGAATGACACTCTTGTGAATGGCATCCATCCGCAGTGTGTATCCGCATATCAGCTACTTTTTTGGTTATGCTATAAATTAACGGACTTATTTATAGTCGTTAATTATCGCTATTTTTATGCCTGTCTCTTTCTATATTTATTAAGTGAAAAATTATTTATAAGAGAGAGAGAGAGAGAGAGAGAGGAGAGATTTTTCGAGTCGATTTTTAAGAGTAAGGTTGTTATGGTCATACATCCCTTTCGAATGACTGATTGACAAAACATAAAACAAATGGATGGTAAGGACATTGTTGAAATGCTATGGAACTCATTGCGCTGGCCGAGGGTGTGTATAAATGGTGAAGGTGTCGACACAATGTAATAGGCGGCGTGGCTCGCGACACGGTACAGTGCTGCACAAGTGGTGCAGGGCATGGCATGCCAGCACCTGCGCGATGAGGTCGCGCGCGCGGGCCGCGTCGATGTGGCTGACGCGCTTGTTCTTGAGGTGGTGCGGCGTGTCGCGGCGGTGCAGGCGACCAGCGCGCGCGCCCGCCGCCACGCCCGCGCGCCACGCCACGCGCCGCCCGCCGCCGTCGCCCCGCTGCCCGCCACACACACACACACACACACACGCCCGTATCACATCACCCTCTTTTAATCCGCCATCAGTTAAGTACGGTAACACAATACCCGACAAGTTTAGAGTTGTTTACTTTAGACGTTAATTATTTAACATTGTCCTTATTGTTTAGTTATTAGTATATTCCTTTATAATAAGACACTACATATTGTTATGTTGATTTACCAAGAAATTGGATGATTATTTAAAAAAAAAATACAAAATATTAAACTATCAAACCTTATACTTTTTAAAGCTAATAAATAATAGACACTGTTATTTTGATTAAAATAAAAAAATCGCAAGTTTTATTTCATTTTTTAATCCTCTTGAATAAATGCTATTACTTACACAGCAAGTAAAAAAATCACGGCAGGTTGATCCATCGTTAATACTACACCTTCTCAAGAATGTACCAAGTCGCATGCGTGACTTGAAATTCATCCAGTAGTTACCACGCTAGGCAGTCGAGTTGTTGTACGAAAAGTCGTTATTCGCACAGGTAATGATACCTCCCGTTGTCAATTTGTGGATACGGGTATGGATTTTGAATGAATATGACACGGGACCTGAGCATGTGAGTTTGGCATTTGGAGAAGAAATTAGGTTTCCTTACAAACCATAGCACCTGTTTCACAATGCTTAAAACCATGGATACTTATTGCAAAATCACAGTTAAAATTGTTCCTAATGTTATGAAATAGTATTTTATGTATAAATGTACTCGGAATATAGTAGGACAATAAAATCATATACCTAACAAAAGATACATTTGATATTTACGCGTCCTCATACCGAAGCAATTTTCAAAGCTCGCCATATCAAAAAACGCATAACTGACACAGATTTAATATTGATTTCTTATATTTACGCGAACATTACACATTGATTAAAACTACTTTTACGGATTTTATCGCGTTTATTTTACTATTATTTTTAATTCCCACGTTTTGGGCGCTTTCCAGCACCCATGGTCACGGGGGACTGAAAAAACCTGGCCGCCGAGGTTCAGCACGTCAAGCAAGTTCTGCACGACAACAAGCTTCGGGTCCCGCGCCTACGTCACAGTGACCGAGTGAAGCCGGCCACAGTCGAGCGTGTGCCTGCTGTACTACCGTATGTCAGAGGTGTCACAGACAAGATTGGCTACATCTTGAAGCGAGCCTCTATTAGAACATTCTACAAGCCGCCGAAGAAGATTAGTCAGTTCCTACCATCAGTCAAGTGTCATATTCCTCTACAAGATGCAGGAGTGTACAAGCTTGATTGTGAATGTGGTCTCTCTTATATAGGACAAACAAAAATATCAATTAGAACCCGCGTAAAAGAACATATAGCTGATGTGAAGCATCAACGTTCCGGGAAGTCTGCAGTTTGCGATCATATCCTAGACGGCCCCAACCATTACATCAGATTTGATAGACCACAAATCCTCGCGAAAGAACACCGATTCCTACCAAGGATGATACGTGAGGCTATTGAAATTAAAAAAAAACCATCCCAATAATTTATATAGAGAATAATTTCAATAGAGAAGGAGGCTGGGTACTACCACCTGCTTGGGATCCTATAATCAATAAAATTAAAACTAAATCCAAGCATACCACTGCAAGACCTCAGGACATAGTCAGTTCATTTTGCATAGATCGGACCATAAACAATAATTAAAAAAGCTGAAGGTACTCCGGGTTTAACAATGACATCGGGACGTCAGTCATCTCAGTCCCCCGTGACCATGGGTGCTGGAAAGCGCCCGAAACGTCGAGAATTAAAAATAATAGTAAAATAAACGCGATAAAATCCGTAAAAGTAGTTTAAATCAAGATTTAATATTTTTTGTAGAAACGTCTGTGGACAATAGACATGTAAGTTACGTAGTAATATTATTAATTCTGTGATGCTGGTATTACAATTTGATTTATTATTGGTTTTTTTTTCTGAAAAATTGTTATGTCATCAAAAACATAACTTGTAAAAAAAACAAGTCTCGCAACTCAGTTCTTCTACCGTAAAATGTTAGATCCATGTAATACCAAGTCGGTTAATTTATTCAGTCCCTACTTATTGGTTGGGCTGAAAAGTTCGTATCGGCTCTCTGAGATGGCGCCACTAGAATAAAATCCATATCATTTTTAGGTAGTACCAACCTTCAAAAGAAACGTGTATAAATTTGACAGCTGTCTGATTATTAGTTTGTGAGATACAGCATTTTGAGTGAAGCAACTTTTGTTATTTTGAAAAAAAATGGATAAAAAGGAATTTCGTGTTTTAATGAAACACTATTTTTTGATGAAAAAAGTGCTGCTGATACCAAAAAGTGGCTTGATGAGTGTTATCCGGACTCTGCGCCGGGCGAAGCAACCATTCGTAAGTGGTTTGCCAAATTCCGTACAGGCCATATGAGCACCGAAGACGATGAACGCAGTGGACGTCCAAAAGAGGCTGTTACGGACGAAAACATAAAAAAAATCCACAAAATGATTTTGGAAGATCGTAAATTGAGGTTGATTTGTATAGCTGGCACTCTAAAGATATCAAAGGAACGTGTTGGACATATCGTTCATGAATATTTGGGTATGCGAAAGCTATGTGCAAAGTGGGTGCCGCGCGAGCTCACAATCGACCAAAAACAAGAACGTGTCGATGCTTCAGAGCAATGTTTGGAGCTGTTCAACCGCAATAGAAGTGAATTTTTGCGTCGATATGTGACAATCGATGAAACATGGATCCACCACTACACTCCGGAGTCCAGTCGGCAGTCATCTGAATGGACTGCACGCGATGAACCGAATCCAAAGCGCGGAAAAACTCAACAGTCGACCGGTAAGGTTATGGCGTCCGTATTTTGGGATGCACATGGAATAATTTTCATCGACTATCTTGGAACGAGAAAAACCATCAACAGCGACTATTATATAGCGTTATTGGAGCTTTTAAAGGACGAAATCGCGAAAAAACGGCCCCATTTGAAGAAGAAGAAAGTGTTGTTTCATCAAGACAATGCGCCGTGTCACAAATCGATGGAAAACGATGGCAAAATTGCATAAATTGGGCTTCGAATTGCTTCCGCATCCACCGTATTCTCCAGATTTGGCCCCCAGCGACTTTTTCCTGTTCTCAGATCTCAATAGAATGCTCGCTGGAAAGAAATTTAAAGCCGATGAGGAAGTAATCGCCGAAACAGAGGCCTATTTTGAGGCTAAACACAAATCGTACTACAAAAATGGTATTGAAAAGTTGGAAGATCGCTATAATCGGTGTATCGCCCTCGATGGCAACTATGTTGAATAATAAAATCGAATTTTGCCAAAAAAATGTGTTTTTCTATAAAAAGATACGAACTTTTCAGCCCAACTGTTAAGGTATGTAGTACGACTATTTATTCTGTGCTTAAGGGTCCTTCTGTCTTAAGTTATTACGTAATTAGCTAACGAAACAACATCTAATTTAAGCCTCATGTCTAATATACATAGTGTTCTCAAAAATAATACTCAACCATATCACAAGGAAACTTGACGAAGAATAAACTAGATAACTAGGTGACTTTAGATCAGGATATTCCACAATAGACCACATCCACGTAATCAAACAGCTAATTGAAAAAAGTCAAGAATTTAACTATCCACTGTACATGACCTTCGTGGACTAAGGCATTTGACTCCTTAGAACATCAATACATTTAGGAAGCCCTAAAAATCAAGGAATCGAAAAAATATATATAAGGATAATAAAAAATGTATACACAAAACAGCACAGGATGAATAAAGCTAGAAACGGAGGAGGAAATTTTCCCTATACGTAGAGGTGTGAGGCAGGAAACTTTTTTTAGCAGTACTTGAGGGTCTTCAGAAAAATGGAATGGGACTATCTCGGAATCAACATTACTGGCACCAACATAAACCATCTCAGATTCGCTGATGACATAATACTTATAGCAGATAACTCAGAAACCCTTCAAACCATGCTCCTAGATCTGGCACAAGAAAGCAAAAAGGTGGGCCTAACGATGAACAAAACAAAGACCAAAATTATGACTAACAGATTCCACAAAAAAACATCAAAGTAGAAGAGAACGAAATAGAATATGTAAATTCCTGTATTTAGTTGGGTCAACAAATTGCATTCAGTGACCAAATGGAATTAGAAATAGAAAGACGGATTTCCAACTCGTGGAATAGATTTTGGACACTTAAAGAAGTACTGAACAAACAATATAACATCGAAATGAAAAGAAAAATATACAACACCTGTATATTACCCATACTTACTTACGGATGCCAGACCTGGGCAAACAAACAAAAACAAGAACAGAAACTGGTCACATATCAGAGCCATGGAGAGGAGCATACTGGTACTGGGCTACACAAAAAAAGATAGAAAAAGAGCCAGAGATATAACACAAATAACAAAAATAGAAGATGTTGTGATCAAAACAAAAAATCTTAAATGGAGATGGGCAGGACATATGCTCAGAGATAACAAAAACAAATGGAGAAATGACATAACAGAATGGACCCCTAGATTCCAAACTAAAAAAAAAAGAGGAAGGCAAATGAAACGATGATCCGATGACATCAAAAAAACAGCAGGTCCATTCTGGCATCGAACAGCTAAAATAAGAAAAGAGCGGAATGCACTGGAAGAGGCCTTTGTGTCGCAAAGACACGCCGACACTCAATAATGATTTATAATTTATAGTAATAATAGTAATAATATAAGTAAAAAAAAAAGTTGGCAATAAGGGTTATAAAAAAAATTATATGGGATTACTATATGCAGTTGGTGTATCTAGAAAACTGGACGGAAATTGCAAAATATTTTAGTTTTTCTTTGACTGATACACTAAACACTAATTGTATTTGTAATTTGAAGCATGCTACGTCTGCTAAAAGTGCCTTAGAGTTTTGATGATCGGTCAATTAGTGAATGACAAAATTAAGAAACTTTGACCAGTAATAATTCTTAAACTACTGGTTCAAATTGAATGAAATTTGAAACGTGTTTATACAATGCCTGCATGGTTACTGAAAATTCAGGCTTCTGGTTTTATCCACAGAGAAGTTATAGGGGGTCAAAAA